CTTTCGAGTGAGTAGGTTTATTAGTGACTCTCAGTCAATCATTACTAAGGCGCAGGGATTGCTCTTGGATTTTTTGCACTTTATAGCTAAGCCAGATTGATTCTTATTTCATTGATAGAACCCTGCTAGTTCAATCCTCACTTTCCATTCCTAGGGTTATTGAATACTTTACTTGCTTGCTATTGCTAGTTCAATCGTCAGCTCTTGCTTAGTCATTGGACTATATCTCCATTTGAGGGAAACTTTCTAAACACTACTGCATTTCGGAATTCATCCTTTCCTTCGCCCGATTCTCTCCCTCGTCCTAACGGTTCCTCATCTCTCATGTGGATTTGATTTGGCGACTGCTCTATCTAATCTATAGTTAGGGAATGAGCTGACGACCATGCGTCACCCGTGGGTCTGCTTTTAGAATGGCCTACTTAGCGCCTTTAGTTTTCCATTAAGGCGGTGGTTTACCTTTAGGTTTGTTGCCTTTCCCTTTGCAACTTCCTGGGCGTTCATACTTACTTCTGTAGTCTTTCTCGCTTCCGAGGAAATCAGAAAGTCATGAAATGTTCACTTATTCCCCTGTTTCCGTCTCTTTATTACCAGCAAAACTCACGGGGACGGTTGGCTCCGTACCGGCTGAGGGCATTAGCACTCGACTGATAGGGATTCCAAGCTAATCTATCCGAGGCCATCAATGTATCTCTTGTCTCGGATTCAGTCTGATTTTCCGGATCCTAGGCTTTCCACCCGGTTGAGAGATGCGATGAGCCAAGCGCGTGCAGTTGGGGGACATGGGATTTGACCCGGAACAACGGAGGGGTGAGCTTGCAGAAATTGAGGCGCCAGGATCAGACGATCGATCTAGTGGCATTGTTTTATCGTCTTCGTCTTCCAAAAATTCTGTAATTGAAAAAAATGATGGTATGTTCCTATTCAGGTATAATATAAGCATAAGGAATTTGATCCGTTTGGTTAATACAACACCGACCATATTGGTCTACACTAATACATTGATCCCCACCCGCCATAATGATGGGTGCGCTATGTCTACAAGCACGTTCTGCGGTAAACGCATGAAAGTTGCATTCATGCAAAATCTGAACTAGTTCATTATAAGGTTCATTGCGTAGATTAGAAATAGGTATAATTATTTCACTACAAAAGCGTACATATTGAAAATGAGGCATCCTTTCTTCAATCTTTTTATCAATATCGTCAATCATTATATTGAACAGAACATCGGAAATATATTTCACAGGAGGAATACCAGTAGATAGACTCATCAATTTAATCTCCTTACCAGATTCATCTTCTTTATAAAGACTTGCATGAATATAACCTGATAACAATTTCACAGCATAATCATGATTATGAAGAAGTGGGGCAACCTTATGAAGAAGTCGAGATCTGGTCGTAGAAGAGCCCTGTGCTTTTACTTGACTTGATTTTGATTTTAGCTCTTTTGAAGCTTTTGAATCAGCTGTGAAGTCTCTTTGCAGTCCGTAAAGTGGAATTTGACCTATGTCCCCCTCAAATGTAAGCTCGTTCCTCACTCGTGCCATACGTGGGGTTATTCAATGAGCGAAGAACAATAAGGGCCAGCCGGACTCTACCTGCCGGGCCTGTGTATTCGGGAACCTCCGGGGAAATACAGTTATAAGTGCGAATAAGTGCGAACAGGCTCATCACTCTAATGTCTCGCCCAGGTCGAAAGGGTTCTAAGCCTTTTCCCCTTCCTTAGCTACTGACGACAGAATGGTTGGCACATTATTAAGAATTCCAGGTGATATGAACGATACGCTAGTTCGGGTCTTGAAAATCCTTTATTCAATGTCCAGAGAGTGACTCTTTCCTGCTTCCGATGGCAACTGGCTTGGAAGTGGACTTGATTGATTGTCTTCCCCATATGAGACGAGGGGAATCTTCGGTAGGAGTATCTAAGAGATGTTCTAAGAGACTATTAAGAGCCACAATCACAGGGATATATTACCTGAGGATGGTTACTACAGATCCCTTCTATATATATATATTTATAGCTACCTTTAAAAGAAATCCTATATCGGGAGAAATTAGGGCTGCTGGTTTTAAGCACAATGGAGCAGGGGACAACATAGACCATAGACCGAAAAAGAGTAGAAGAAGAAGAGAAGTAAGAACAACGAAGCGAGTGTCTCTCATGTAAGAATATTGTAAGGCTTCCCCAAGGCAAAAAGAATTCTAGAAGTTTCTCTGATACTTAAAACACCTGATAGACCTGGAGCTGGCAATCGCAGCAAGGGAGTGCGTTGCCTTCTTCAGATGGAAATGATCTCTGGGAAGATTGGTGTGGCTCGTCAAGTAAAAATCTCCTTTCCCAACTGCTTTATCGAGCCTGCTCTCCAGGATCCTAATTCCATCCTCAGGCTATGACTCACTTCGTCCCTCACTAAGATCTGTCGTATATAATAGGAATAGATTCAGTCTGGACAGCTGTTTAAAGAAAGGGATCCGTCTTCCTTCCATTCTTCGGAGCACCTAGCAAGGCCAGTGAAATGAGTCAATTTGGATTGTTTGTTTTGTTTGTTTTTATTTTAATAGGAAGAGTGATTTCGTAAATGCGAGGTACCGGGGGGCTTCCAGGCCGACGGAAATACAAGTCATGAACGATAGCGAAGCCAAGCCGGATAGGCTTTTTTATGTCGAAAGCCCCAAACTTTCTATCTTATAACAGACAACTAACGCAAGCCTACTCAACTAATTTCATAAGTCAAGGCCTGTTCGCATCGCAAACTAATAGAAAAAAACAACTACTAGACGTCACTATACGTTGAGTGCTCCTTGTTGTTCGGATCTTGACCGGATCCGAGCTTCCCAAGCTCTATGCTGTTGGGGAATTCTGCAAGGGTCTTACCGCCTTCTTGATTGACTCTATTTGAGTCTTTGGAGTACTTTGGGATTATATTCCGCGCCGAGGATTTGTGCTTGTGGGCCGGGGTGAATATTGCAGACCAGCGGATCAGGTGGTCGACAATTGTTCGGACTTGGTAAAGGTTGTCGCGGCACCTGTAGTAGGACAGAGGACTTATCGCGATGCCCGCGGACCAATTTACGATGTCTCCGTCGCTGACGTTCGTCAAGCAGGCGACGTGGATTGGCCAGGGTCTTCTTCGGCTAATGAGACCTCGATCCCGAAGCCTTCGGAGTATCTTTTTGATAGGCGCCTCCATTTGTATGGGGAATTCGCTGCTGATA